GTGACTCATTATTATCCCCTTGTTTACGTAATTAGACTGTAACTCCTAATTATATGTGATTTTTACAAAGATTCAATTGCAAATTGCCAGCTTATATATTATCTTATATCTTGGTGTATAGTAGTTATGCTCAAGAAAAATTTACCTAACATACTCACAGTCTCGCGTGTATTTGCAATACCAGCAATAGTATTAAGCTTCTACACAAAAAATAAGTACGCAGATCTAATCACAATATCGATCTTTATGTTTGCATGCATCACAGATTTTTTTGATGGCTATCTAGCGCGTACGTGGCAAGTTCAATCAAAGTTTGGTAAATTACTTGATCCTATCGCTGATAAGTTAATAGTTGTATCAACAATAATTATGTTAATTTATATGCATAAGGTTAATGATTTTACAATAGTACCATCAATTATCATCATCTGCAGGGAAATATTAGTTCCAGGTTTACGAGAGTTTCTTATCGCTATAAATGTTAGTCTACCTGTGAGTAAAATTGGAAAAATAAAAACTTTTCTGCAAATGGTTGCTGTAGTAACGCTCATAGTTGATAACTATGAAATAACTCAATATATAGGTGGATTTTCTTTGTGGTTTGCCGCAGCAATAACTATATGGTCAGGCTATAATTACGTTTCAGCAGGAATAAAACAGATTAATTGAAAAAGTGATCTGTTAAATTTCCTAAGAAAGAATCATAAAAATTATTAGTATATTAACGATATTGACTAAATAAGATGTATTGTAGTATAATATATTAGTTCATAATTTTATTATAGTTAATATGACTGGTATAGGTAACCCGAATATAACTGATGCAAACAACAAATTGAATGTAGCTGGTACGAACGAATCGGATAACAAGAACTCAATAACTGATCAATGGGCTTTTTTTCATGAATTTTTGTTAGAGATTGAAGAAGAGAAATCAAAGAAATTAAAATTAGAAAAAGAAATATTAAATCTAAAAAGAAGAGAGCTGTTGAGACAATATACATCACTCGCTAGAATGGCTCCACTTGCAGTACTTATGGCCATTAAACTAGAAGCAACATGCAGTGATATGGTACTATTAGGCATTATAAATAATGCATTAAATCATACGGTTATACCCTTTACGGCTTTATCTCTTGTTTGCACGTTATATTTAATTTATAATAGCAAAAAAATAAAGAAAAAAGAACAAGAATTAAGAAATCTTAAAAACAAAGAGGAAATAGGAAAAAGTGATGTTCATTACAGCAAAGATGATTATGTGAACTGTCTTGATGCTTTCACATCTATGTTAGTTATTTTAGGTGGAATAGTTAGTCAAGTATCGGGACAAGATATAATAGAAGATTCGATCCTCTTATTTTCGAATATAGTTGCTTTTTGCATAGCCTGTGCTTTCTTGTATAGTGAATGCAAAAAACTCAAGGAACACACTTATGAGAAATCTAATGAAAAAACTAGCAATATAAATGCAGCTACATTTATTTTTGCTGGTGCTTTTTCATTATTGATCAGAAGGATAATGTTAATGGCAACAGAACCATCTATGAGTATCTACATTGTAGGCCCTACTCTTGGTTTGTTCGGAATCCTGAGTATTATAACAGGATGCATACTAAATACACGCTCCTACAGCAGCAAGTTGGAAGACATAGAAGTTACAGAAGGAACAGCAATGGGAATTGGTATCCATGCCGCTAACTATTCTGATAGAAAATTCAATAATAATACTGACCGGAGTTTTCCTATCTAACATATGTGACACTAAAATTTATTAGTTTATCGCAATCTTTTTTTCGTGTATAAGTAGTNAGTGATCTGTTAAATTTCTTAAGAAAGAGTCATAAAAATTATTAATACATTAACAATATTGACTAAATAAGATGTATTGTAGTATAATATATCAGTTCGTAATTTTATTATAGTTAATATGACTGGTGCAGGTAACCCGAATAAAACTGATGCAAACAACAAATTGAATGTAGCTGGTACAGACGAATCGGATAACAAGAACTCAACAACTGATCAATGGGGTTTTTTTCATGCTTTTTGGCCAAGGATTAAAAAAAAGAAGGATCAATGGGATTTTTTTCATGAATTTTGGTTAGGGATTGAAGGAGAGAAATCACAGAAATTAAAATTAGAAGAAGAAATACTCAATCTAAAAAGAAGAGAACTGTTGAGACAATATATATCACTTGCTACAATGGCTCCATTTGCAGTACTTATGGCCATTAAACTAGAAGCAGCGTGCAGTGATATGGTGCTGTTAGGCCTTATAAACAATGCACTAAATCACACGGTTATACCCTTCACGGCTTTATCTCTTATTTGCACGTTATATTTAATTTATAATAGCAGAAAAATAAAGAAAAAAGAACAAGAATTAAGAAATATTGAAAATAAGGAGGAAATAGGAAAAAGTGATGTTCCTTACAGTAAAGATGATTATGTGAACTGTGTTGATGCTTTCACATCTACGTTAGTTATTTTAGGTGGCATAATTAGTCAAGTATCGGGACAAGATATAATAGAAGATTCGATCCTCTTATTTTCAAACATAGTTGGTTTTTGCATAGCCTGTGCTTTCTTGCATAGTGAATGCAAAAAACTCAAGGAACAAACTTATGAGAAATCTGACGAAAAAACTAGTAATATAAATGCAGCTACGTTTATTTTTGCTGGTGCTTTTTCATTATTGGTCAGAAGGATAATGTTAATGGCAACAGAACCATCTATGAGTATCAACATTATAGGCCCTACTCTTGGTTTAATCGGAATCCTGAGTATTATAATAGGGTGCATACTAAATACACGTTCTTACAGCAGTAAGTTGGAAGACATAAAAGTGACAGAAGGAAAAGCAACAGGAGCGGGAGTTAATACTGTTAGTAGTATAGGATGCGCTGAGAAAAAATGCAATAATAGTGAACTGGGCAATTTTCCTATCTAACATATGTGACATCGC